GCCTCCACTGACACTGTTGGCCCTGAACTATGACCCCTTGCTCCTCCAGGTACCAGGCTGGTGGCTGACATAAGAGGGGGGGCCTGCGTCAGCTCAGGAATGAGGCACTAAGGCAGCGTCTCCTCTCAAGACCCTTTCTGCTCCTATCCCTGCCCGACCCATGTGTGAGGTCCCCTCAGAACTTGAAGGGGAAAAGGGAGCCACCACCAGCCAGACAGAGCTGCCATGCTATCAGATGGTTCCTATATAACTTTTATTTCTAGAAATTAAGGTAGATACAGCAATATACAAAAAAAACAAAAACACAATAATATAAATTTTTACACTATGAAGTATACATTGGAATTTGAATGCAGTGGCCAGGACAGCAGCTTACAAACCACCTCATAGGTAGGTTAAGCGATCCACGGGAATGCCTCGACCTGGCGGGGGGTGGAGAGAAAGCGGACAGGTCCTGAGGACCCTGTTCTTTAAGGGAGGGAAACAAGTCTCAGCTCCTCTCAGAACGTTTGCTACAATCAGAGTTAAAACCAGATATACATGCTACCTACAGCCATGAACTTGACAGTGTCTGCTCCGGAGAAGCCCAAACCCTTGCCCTAGATCCCTGTGACTTAAACCCAGTGGTAAGCCCAAGTCTCACCTTTCTAGATACGCTCTCAGCTTATGAGTTAAGCTTATCATGTACTAAAGAGCATTGCTGGAGAAGGGAGAACTCCGTGTCACACATCAACCCTTTCCAGGCAGCAGGACAGGGATGGCCATGGGGAACCCTGTTCGTCTTAGAGAGAAGGTCCTCTCCTCCCTAATTCAGAAACTAGCTAATTTGGGTCTAACTAACAGAATTCCATGGAAATTCTGATCAACTGAGGCAAAGTAGTTTTGTGTCACCAAATCTAGCCATGCCTCTGGGTCAGAGAGGCCAACCTATCACATGCTAAGTGTTCCAAAATACATGGTAAAGGTGAGCTGAGTGGCTGAGGCACAGACCACGCGGAAGGTCATAGGTGGTTCTGCCTCACCTGTAGGGCCCCTGTGGGAAGGAGACAGTCACCAGCCTCGGGGGGAGGCCGGGTGTACACTCCTACATGAGGGGAGACCTCGGGTTTACAGTGAGCTTTACCCTGCATTGGCCAAGCGAAGGGGCAATTACAGGTGCTGCTGGGAATCACCAAGAAACTGGGGTAAGAACTGTATTCCCTGAGCTCAACTAGACACTTCGCTGGGGCCCCATAGTCTGAGTCACGTTCGACCTACAACTCTCTGATACTTCCGTTATTGTCACACAGGTCCCTGTGACTCATTTTTTTTTTTCAGAACTTTTTCTCTCTGTTGTTGATATTGGGTGATTTCTATTTGTTGGTCAGTTTCTCTGATTCTATCCTCTGTCATCTCCTCTCTACGTTCCACTCATATAGCAAGTTTTTTATTCAGTTTTTGTGTTTTTCATTTCTATAATTTCATGTTTTTTAATATCTGTATTACTTTGCTTGGATTTTCTATCCTTTCATTTGTTTCAGAAAAACCCATAAATGGCTGATGAAATATTTTAAACCCATAACTGATTGGTGAAAGCTACTTTAAAATATTAGTCAATTTATAATCCCAACATCTGATTCATCCTGGTGTTGGTGCCTGTTGTCTTCGTTAATTTATGTTTTGGTTTTCTTGGTTCCTGATGAATGATTTTGTCTGTTGTATCATGGACATTTTGGATACTCATTGTATTGCATGTGGAATCCAGTTGTTCTGGCACCGTTTCTTTCCCTCATTGAACAGTCTTGGTGCCCTTGCCAAAAGCCAGCTGGCCACAGATGCGTGGGTTCATTTCTGGACTTTCGATTCTATTCCATTGATTGATATGTCTCTCCTTATGCCAATACCACACTGTTTTGGTTACTGTAGCTTTGTAGTAAGTTTCAGTAAGTAGTGTGAGTGCTCCAACTTTGTTCTTTCTCGAGATTTTTTTTTTTTTTTGGCTTATCTTGGTCTGTGCCAATTCTTTATGAATTTTATGATCAGCTTGTTCACTTCTGCAAAAGGCAGTTGGGATTTTGACAGGGCTGGTGTTGAAGCTATAGACCAGTTTGGGGAATATTGCCACTTTAACAATACCAAGTTTTCCGACCCATGAACATGGGTATCTTTCCATTTATGTGGGTCTTTAACTGATTTCAGTACGTTTTGTAGTTTTCACTGAACAAGTCTTATGCCTCTTAGGTTAAACTTCTTCCTCGATACTTTATTCTTTTTGAGGCCATTATAAATGGTACTGTCTCCCTAACTTCCTTGCCCAACTGCTCCCTGCCAGTGTACAGAAACGCAACTGATGTTTGACTTTGAGTTCAGGTTTGTTTCTATAGCACGGTCGCTGCTGGGAAGCCTGATCGGTGCTGCCGCTGCTGCCCAGGCTGGACGACCCTCGCCACCCAGGGCGGCGTGAACACTTCCTTCCAGAGTTTTCCAGTCTGTGCTTTGATTTTTGGTTTCTACATTTACTGCCTTTACTCACCAGGATTTCACACTCGTGTCTGACGTCAGATGGGCCCAAAGCTGAGTGGCCTCGCAGAGCTCCCGGGCGACGGTCCCATGTCCGCACTCCCTGCTGAGCAGAGACGGCCTCTGTCCTCTCAGTCCTCTCTCCAGCAGCGCCTGGCTCTTTTCCAAAGTGCCCTTTCAAAGTGTCTTTTTTTGTCCCTTTTTACCTCATTTTTTTGTTTCCACCTTAGACTATTTCCAAGTTCCTCTTCTTTCAAAATAAAGTCTGGTTCTGCCATAAAGTAGGAAGTCTCTCGACGTGAGAAGCACTGCACAGGGGCCGACACAGGTCCCGGGGCATCCTCCACCCGCACCCCTGACCACCGCGGGCACAGGAGCGAGGGCCGTGGCTCTGCAAGGCTGCCCCGTGAAGGACGCTGGGCCAGAACCGACTACAG